AAAACATTGAAGCTGCATTTTCATAAGCCAAGATTGTTTTCATTTTCAACCTCGGGGGTAAATATGTAGAGGAAACTGTCTTTTTACAATTGGACAGAATGAGGAAATCATTTAATCTATATGGAGGAAAAGTATGGCAGAGATTATGTTTCCTGGTTGAACCAGGGTGCATTGCATGCATTCTCTCTAGTTCATCTTGGTTAAGTTCAATCAGGAGTAATTCTGTCAATGGCCTTGCTCTGTAAGCCACCAGACCATCTGTGGACCAATTAAGTTCAAACATGTCCAGGTGGTTAGAGAAATGACCTAAAAATATGTGTCTCTGTTTTAAACAGCCTTTTCTTTTCCCCAAAACAGAAAGACAATAGATCTGACATTTGATTTAAAAAGTAAAGGCCAAAATACTTAGAATAAAAGAAATAACCAAATAAAATACAGCCTGTACCAGATGTAGCCCATATTAGATGGAGCACTTTCTATAGGTCTTCTCAAAAATATTATTCACAATATAGTTGAAGAAAAGTGCTTCCCTTATTTGTATGATAAGACAAGGTTGCTCCCTATATGCATTGGCATCCCTATAAGCAGCAGGAAAAATCATCTTTATTTACTGTAACTACTGCCATGTATTCAGATCAATCTGTTCTTACTGATAACTCTTTGTTCATGTTTACATATCTATAAATTTGGATCACTCTATATACCAAGAAACTACTCCCATAAGACAAGAAAACCAAGCTATACAGTTCACACTAGTAAATGAAAACCATAAGGATATGTAGTGAATGACTCTCATGGTTGAAAAACACCATGTGTCTCTCCCTAGCTGAGATAGGCCATATGAAAATGCCTCCATGATTCTCATCGTTTCCTCCTTCCCACACATTCCAGTTCATCTCACTTTTCTCTTATTCCTGTGGCTGAGATAGGATTTGTGAATGACATAGGAAAAAAGTAAATTTCCATTCCTCAAGATACAATGTACAGTGGAGGAAACACCTTGTTTATAACTATCTATAAACATGATAGGAAACAGTCACATGGTTGAGAGGCTCCCTGGAGATTTTTTATGATGTTTTATGTCCATAGTTATTTACTGAATACCTATTAAGAGCTTGGGAATCTAAGATAGGAATACAAGTATTGAAAGCACAGATAGATCACTTGGTGATGTGTTTTCTCATCAGGGTGAAAGCTACTAAACACATAAACAAGTGAGAGTATCTTAACACTGTGATAAGTAACATGAAAGAAAGGAATTGCTGATAGAAATGAAGTGTAGGAACAGCATTTAGAAAGGGTGACTAGACAAACCTACTTTGAGGCTGCATCATTTGAAGAAAGACATAAATCAGCAATGAGTCATATATATGATTGTCACAGAGAACATTGGCAAACGAGTGTATATCCACACAAAGCCCATCATGGCTCATTGAGGCATCATTGGCAAAGGCTGAATGTGGCAGTTGCCCAAATGCTCATCGGGCAGTGTTGCAGTATGTTGCATCCTACCTCTTCCCACCTCCACCCGCAAATTAGGGCTTTATTAAGAGCTAGGGTCGGGGCTGGAGAGATGGCTCAGAGGTTAAGAACACTGACTGCTCTTCCAGGGGTCCTGAGTTCAATTCCCAGCAACCACTTGATGGCTCACAACCATCTACAATTCAATCTGGTGCCTTCTTCTGGTATGTAGGCAGAACACTGTATATGTAATAAATAAATAAATCTTAAAAAAAGAGCTGGGGTCATTGTTAAAGACAGATAATTAAAATGATGTCATCCTGCAGTAGAATGAAGCCTTCATTCACAAAGAAGGTACAGAGAAAGAGTCATTTTATAACAGGTAATGATCTGAATAACATAACTTCAAGCAAAGGAACACTAAGCAGACTAACAGCTACCCTCAGAACATAAGAAGAAGTAAGGGTTTACACTCAGAGTCTTGCATCTCAGACCTGTCCATGCATCCTGTACTACGTTCCTTTCAGCTGCTTGGTTTGTAGCACTTTGTTATAGGACCAATATGAAACTAATGCAAGTTTCATCTTTTAAATAAAAATGTGGGGTATGCCTACAGTGCCATCCTGTTTTGCAACAGGCCAGATAGAATGTTGGTGTGCTATAGCATGGGCCTGGAAAGCAGGCTACATTAAAGAAGGCAGATGGGAATGACACCAACATAGGACTGGAGAGAGGTAGGCAGTTAAGAACATTGACTGCTCTTGCAGAGGATCCAGGTTCAGTTCGCAGAACTTACATTATAGCTCAAAACTGTCAGGAATTCCATTTCCAGGGGATCTTGTCTCCTCTTCTGACCTGCAAGGGAACAGACATACATGTGATGCACATGCATACATGAAGGCAAACACTCATATAAATAAAATAAAAAAGAATAAGAATGTTTAAAAGAATGCAGGTATCTGATTCCATTACTATGAAATGCCCAGAGCAGGTAGACATGCCAAAGGCAGGTCAGAGGATGCTGCAGGGTATGCTGTGCTATATTGGGGCTGGAAATTAATGATAAATGGGCATCACAGATATTATTTTGGGTATTGAAAATGCTCAGAAATCAGAGTGTGGTGACAGTGGTATGTCTAAACAAATATGATGAAAATCATTGAACTGTGCCCTTAAAATCAGTAAATTGTTAATATGCAAACTATAAATATATATATGTGTGTTGTGTGTGTGTGTGTGTTTATTTTTTAAGTACTGTGGAAACGGTGTGAAGCAGAAGAAATGTCGGTTCTTCCCAGTCATTCATAAACCACAATGGGCTAGAAAGAACATTCAGAGGGGAGGAAGAAGAGTTTTATGAAACAATTCTACAAGAGGGTACTTCAAATCTACACTCTAAACATAGAATTTTTAGGATGGGGAAATAAATATTTAACCATCTGGACATTGAGTCTCCATCCACACTGATGCTCAGAACAGGGTTATCTGAGATACAATTACTCGTCACTATAATCTTCATAGATTCATTAGAGAAGCGTGATGGACATGTAGTGACAATATAAAAAGATGACAGAGCCAAAGTCAATCACTTATAAGACATCCTTGCCACTAGTATTTTTAACCTTATTGTCTCATTTGCTATGCAAACTGTCTTGCTTTCCTGAGAAGACAAAGACCTCCTCCTTTTGAGGCCACTCTTATTTTTTTTTTCAATTAACACCAGTCTCAGAGTATACAGTCACATGCACAGCACTAAGAGGTGTTAACTTGCTCACTGCACTCCCGAGTCATACTACTGATATTTATGGGATCATGATTCAACTGTACAGACGGTTTGTTAGCAAGTTCAGCAGCTGTGTGTGAATGCTGCTGTTAGTATGCACCACACCATTACCCAGTCAGCTTTGTGCAAATGCTCAAAGGGAAGCAATCAAACAGAGGTGCAAGAGGAATTATGGCAGAGACTTGACAAAAAGGGGGGGTAGCTTTGTTTGCGAACAAGTCAAACGTGACTTTGGTGCATTTTAATTTACTTCGATGCTTTTATATACTGCAATAGAGAAAGGTCATAGTAAACAGTGAAGATGGAAGCCTTGAGTTTTAACTTTGACCATTAACTAGATCTTGGTGGGACTGAAAACAGAGTGTTAACTCCTTTGAGATTACAGCCTCCCTTGTAAAATGAAAGCTATCAACAGCCATTGTAGCCTTTTGAGGACAAAGAGTTGGCTCAATCCCTTGCTCTAAAAGGCCTTAACTGTGACTTCCCCTGGATGCACAGAAGTGTGTATTCAGGAACATCAAACTTAATGACCCTGGAAGAAGAAATGGCCAAGCAGTTAAAAGCACTTATTCTTGCAGAGCACCAAGGTTCAGTTTCCAGCATGTACATAGTGCCTTATCACCATCTGTAACTCCAAGTCCAGGGGTCCGTAGACACCATGTACTCACATTAATTACTCACATACATGCAGGCAAAACATATATATATATGTATATATATATATATGTTAATGGGTCCAAAAAGATTATTTTTAAGAACACTGGGTAAGTTATCTCAAAGTTCCTTCTAAAGCTAATTTTCCCCTTTAGCCTAGGAAAAGAAAACAAAACCAAAGAGTAACAACAGAACTATATTAAAGTTCACCCTTCCACAGCAGTCTTCATGGTAAACCCAGCATCACTGTACATATCTAACTCATAGTGCTGAGTTTTTGTTTTTGTTTTTTTTTCTGGACTGATTAGATCCTTGTGGAGCTGCTCAGTTTGGGAACCAGCACGTGAAAAGTGTTTGCGAGCTGAATGAAATCAGCTGTCTTTGTTACTGCACCTGTGCCCATCCGTCCCTTGTTGTTACTCTTCTGAAACCTTTTATTTCTCTTTGCTCTGACTACTGGGGGGGGGGAGGGGAATGAGAGACGAAGTGCAATGACCATTTGACTTGCAATAAACCTGATAATCCCAGTCAGTACTGTTGCATCAATAATCACAGAGATGTCCAGAGATCAAATAGAAATAAACTAATGAGTCAAGGTGGTATGGATAGGAAATAACTGATAAGTTTTTAGTCATAGAACATAGATTTAATCTGTTGGGCTGTTACTGTGACTATCATAACACAATCTTCTTTCTAGGTATGGGGGATTATGATTCCAAGGTAATTACTTCGTTGACAGGACAAACACATGTTAAACTTGCCTACTGTAGGTGCTAACCATTTGTTATGGGTTGACACCTTGGAACACAGCACAAAGGATGTATTTTTAAGTGTCTATAAATAGTTTAATGTTTCATGCATGTGGTGTATTTCCATGGGAGCGGTATTCCTATTGACTAGGAAAATATCAATTCTTTCTCCTTCCCCCACCCCAATCGACCCAAGCATGGAGACACCAATCCTCTGCAGGTGGTATAAAGGCTGCGATATGAATTTTTCTCTCACAGAAACTTGAGGGAGAGTTGGGGTCGCATGACGTCAGAAAACACTTATGTACATCTTGACAGAACCTTTGAGACTTGGTGTCTTTGTCTGTTCACAGGGGTGATGGGTGAATATGAGCCCAAAATAGAAGTACAGTTTCCAGAAACAGTCCCTGCTGAGAAAGGAACAACAGTCAAGCTGGAATGCTTTGCCTTAGGAAAGTAAGTTCTGGTTGCCCCTCCTCCCCTCAGCTCTGGCAGGTAATGAATTGTTCAGCACTCACAGAGATGGCTTCTGAGCTGTCTGAAAATCAAATTGGCTTTCTCTTTGTAATTCTGTGCTTGCATCTTTGATTCTGTCCTCTTCCTATGGAAAAAGACAGGTAATGGCTCTAGAAGGATTGGGCTGCCACGATTGACACAGCCACAAAGGCGAGAACAGATGATTCTGAAAAGTATTCCATTCTATTATTATGACCTATAATGTACCTGCTGTCTCACCCAGAATGACAGGAAAACAATGGCCTTCATTTGAGGTACAGGCAAGCTGAGTATTTGGAAAAATGGGGACTTTCATTCTGGGCCTGTATACAGAGGATACATAAAATTTTTCTTGAATTTCTTTTCAAATGCCAAACTCTTCTCGCTCATTTGGATTCCCTTCTGCTCTCACTGGAGATAGAGAAGAGCTAATATCTAAGAGTCTATTTTAGAGTTGTCTGAAAATTATTCACAACTTTATTATTCCATCTGTATTACACTTTAAAAAACTACTTGGAAAGCACTTAGCCTTGCCATAGAGGGTCTGCCAGAGAACATCAGAAAGGAAAAGAAGATCAGCTGGGATTTTTATATGCCAGTAACCAACAGGAATGGTTTGGCATCCACAATGTAAACTATCACCAGAAGGGAGAATGCTGGGGGCGTTGTGGATTTTAGTGGTCTGTGTCAGTGTTTTCTCCCAGCCAGATCTAGCCAGCCACCCATTCTTAATTCTGTCTGTTTTTTCTGTGCCTGAGTTTTGACAAAAGGCACAACAGGAGTTCTTGCCCAGTCCTTGTCTTAGTGTGTATATTTTGAAATGAAATGTCTTGTGTTTCACAGAAACTTTAGACATTCTTTGCATTTCCAATCTTATTTTCAACTCTAATGGGATGATTGTTTTCAAGTTGCAGCAGTGTAGGCCCCAGCAGTATCTTTACTTCGATGAGGTTTAACAAAATGATAATTTTGTATCTCCTAAACCTTTCCATAGTGTATAAATTCTGACAGAGCTGCTAGACTGAATGCTGCGCAGACATGAAAAGCAGGCTGTAAAGCCACATGTAAGATACAGCAAATGGCAATGATTTGTTGCTGAGAAGAAAAGCAGATTGCACACATTGTGATGTGGCTGATCTAAAGATTGCAGCCTTTCTGTGAACCTATGAAACAACCAGGGAGACAGCAAGAGCAGGTGACTGGATCATTGGGGTCTATATTTGGCAGTCTTTGCAAGATGACACTTAACAAAATTCCCCCTGAGGAAAGCAAAATTCACATTGCTCACACTTCCAAAGGGACTATGAATTAAAGTCTATTCACAATGCTTGAATGGCGCTAAAATAAAAACAAAAGACCCAAATTGGGTTCTTCAAATCCACACAGAAATGTTTGGATATGCATGTCTGGCTGTTGAAACACACTATCATTGCCCACTTAAGAGTAGAAGAGTAGTCTAAGTGCAGATCTGTTTAAAGGCATGTATTAAGTATATATATGATTGACTGTAAAGACACCCATAATGTGCTTCTGATGGAGCCCTCCTGCATTTTCAGTCAGTGTTTGCCTAATAAATTTAAGTTATTTTAAAACAAATCTAGTAGAGTTGATAAGTTTAATTTTTTAAATACCATCTCAAGTTTCCCAGAGAAGACTGGCAAGTCTTTAGTGTAATTACTTCCCTGTGAGTGTTTTTGTGAAAAATAAATAAGTAAATAATTGCATCCCCTGCTAGGAAGCTACAATCCTAAAAGCTGCAGTTAGCTTAAAAACCACTCATTTGCAGACAGGCTGCCCTCCTTGGCAATTTAAGATGTGTTCCAAACAGTTATGGCAAGAGGATGATAGATGCCTCGAGAGTACATTAAGACCCCCACAGACTTCTCTTTTCTTCATCTCGCTACTTTAATTATTGTTTCCACAAACCACCTTCCAAATGGACCACTATAAATCAGTGAGGTCACCAATATGTAAATTACAATAAGGACAATAACTGTGTTCCCCAGATCAGGTTGTCATGAGTGAATTGCTCCTCTATGCCAGCAATTAGGTTGCAGTTTCCACATTTTATGAGCTCGTTACTTTTACTATCACTTGTTCAATATGTGGGAGTAACTTACAGTGTGGTATTCACATTGCTGGACATAACATTTACAAAAATATATTGTCTCTATTCTCTACTACTACATTACAAACTTAGAAGGAACAAGCTGCTAACCTCATATTATCTCATGGATTTATGGGAATCCAAGCAAGGTTTAGTTGGTGATATTTTTGGTCTGTGTGATGTCTCTGAGGGTCTCATGGTGTGAAGCTGACACATTAGTGGTGTGGAGATCCCAAAGAAGTGTCATTCACTTTTCTGGCATCTTGGAGACAAGGGTAGATATGATGGAACCAACTGGGTCTGTCATTAGGTGAAGCTCCACAAAAAGCCTCAGCGTGCCAGTATTAAGGTAGTTGAATTTCGCATAAGTGCCTCAAAGAGAGTGTCCCAAGGAAAAGAACATGAAAGCTGTCTGTTTCTTAATGGTTGAATCTAGGAATCAACTCACTATCACTCTTGTCTGTGGATTAATCTGGGCAGTGAATAAGCCCAAGTTCAAGGGAGTAACAAGAAACTCATCTCAGTGGGAGGGATGCGTGGGATGTTGCCTCCATTTGAACTCCTCCACACACATGCCTGAACATTTTTATTTTGATAGTTATAATTTAGAAAATCCAGATATATTACATAAAATTAACTTATTAAAAATTCTCTTTTCTTTCTATGACAATGGTGCATAGAAGCTTGATTACACTGTTTAATGTTAAGAATGTTGATTTTAAGAAAAACGTGAAGTGACTAAAGCCAGAGATATAGATGTTGCTAAATGAAGTTTAGGGAATGCTATAATATGCCCATGGCTTTGATAGCAGAGGAAGGGCTTATCATCACAGATTTAAGAAGGAGATGGAGCTTTCTTTAATTTGATTCATCCCATTTTATTCTCACTGTCAGCCCAGTCCCAACTATTCTGTGGCGGAGAGCTGATGGGAAGCCGATAGCAAGGAAAGCCAGAAGACACAAGTCAGATGGAATTCTGGAAATTCCCAACTTTCAGCAGGAAGATGCTGGCTCCTATGAATGTGTGGCTGAAAACTCTAGAGGCAAAAACATAGCAAAGGGGCAGTTAATTTTTTATGGTAAGTTTTCAGTCCTACTTATTATTTGCCATGCTACAGAACTTTTCATATTACAGTTTTGCACTTGCAAGTCTGCAGTTGGAGGGAATTTTGGTTGTTGGTGGTCGGTTGGTTGGCTATTGTTTTTATGTCTTGTTTTGTTCTTCTTTTTTAATTTTGGAAACATGTAGAATAGAATTCTGTAAGACTCTTGCTTTTCTCTTTTCTACATAATTAACATGCCCCGGGAGACTCTGGGTGTGGAAAGTGAAGGCGGGGGCAAGGATGTTGAAGCAAGAGAGAGGAAAGAATTAAACTGGAGTGTTTAGGAGATGGATGGTAGCGTGAACACACTCCTGGAGGAGACTATTTCCTGTTTTTCTCTTCCCGTTGAGCTATAAGCCTGACAGCGGAAATTGTTTGTTATGCGCACATGTGTGTGTGTGTGTGTGTGTGTGTGTGTGTTAATTGAAGCTCTGAGCCATTTGTATTTTTAATTGAGGCTCATCCTAATTCTTTGAAATTATTCCTACTCTACTGATGTTTAATACGTTATCCTGAACATTTCAAAATGTGCACTGTTCAAATTTAGTTCTCAGAGTAGAGCATGAAAAATATCTCATCACATAGATTTTACTTTTTATGAAAAGCTTCTCTGGTTCTGGTCAAATCATCTGTATTGATCCACACATAACATAAGTACAAAATGTGTACCACATGGTTCTTATCGAGTGTATCCTAGAAGGCTTCACAGGCTATTGACCTGAAATTCAGAAAAGGGTTTGACTGGAAATGCATGCTGAAACAAATTTGAGAGGTATCAAGTTAATTTGTTTTTATTTTGGTTTCGTTTTTGAGAGACTGTCTCATTGTTTTGTAGCTCTGACTGTCCTGGAACTCACAGTGTAGACTATACTGGCTTTGAACTCTAAGTGCTGGCACTAAAGGCATGTGCCACCAAACATGGCCAATAGTACATATGTCTATATGCTCTTTCTCCAAAGTCCTTTAGTTTTAAGATAAGCTAAGAACTAAACTCAGTAATAATATAAAGTAGCTTAGAAGCAGATTGGAAGGCAGGAACATGTACAGCATTGGCCATTGAACTTCTTATACCAACTCTCAGCATTGTAGACTCACATACCCTGAAGTAGCTGGTATGGTAAGATTCTAGAAAGTTCTTCATAAAAGGATTAGGACAACAGTAGCTTGGGGGAAAAATCCCTATACTTTATTTATTTGTCTTTCTACCTATACTACATGAGATATTTGATATTTTGTCTTTTACTTTCTTAAATTATGAAAGCTGATATTTTATTTCATGGGTCAAAATGTATAACATACCACAGTTAACTGGAAACTCACAAGAGCCAAGGTTACAGATTTATTTGGTGAGAAGAAATTATCATGTATTTTTTAGTTGTTTGGGGTTTATTTTTCTCATCTGTCTGATAATTATTTCCTCCATGTTGGGTAGCCACCATTTGAACTTACTTAGGCAAAATGGGCAACATTTTTCTTTTTTCTTAATTGAATAGACTTTTAAATGTAGTGTTGGTGGTTCCTAAATGTTACTTAAATCACTTGAGGAATCAAATAAAGTTACTTCCACTTTCATGATTGTGTTTTAAGGTTAAATCCTTGCATTCAGTATGCTAAGGCAGTTTGTTTGTTTTTGGGATTTTTTTTAGATTTATTTATTATGTATGCAGTGTTCTGCCTGTGTGTATGCCTGCAGGCCAGAAGAGGGCACCAGATCTTGCTATAGATGGTTGTGAGGCACCAGGTTGTTGCTGGGAATTGAACTCAGGACCTCTCCAGCTCCCATAAGAAGGTGTTTTCTGTAGCCAAGGATTGACATGGATTTTCCTAAGTATTCAAGGTCTACCACTCATGAAACAAAACAGTGTAGAGTTACTGTGATGGACCTTGTCATGGACCCCAGCCTTGTGTAAAATAGATGCTTCCCAGGTATCCTTCCCTAGGGATGGAAATCAGAGACTAACAGTGTTTGCCTTTTAAATAGCACTGCCTGCAGCAGTGCTTGGTAAAGGAGCAGAACAATTTGCCTGTTTTCTGAAGATAGCAGAATGTCACTACCTTGTCAGTCACCCTTGGTGTCAGAATAGCTGACTTCCACAGCACTTGACTATTGTATCTGTTTATTCTTTTGTTCTTCTTCAACTAGCATGTCGCTGATATTATTTTCACTGTCACAGGAGGGCTTGATTATACAGAAGTGCTTGACTGCCATTTTTTTTCCTTTCCTATCTTTTTTTTTTTGAAGGGAGAGGTTTGGTGTGTTCCCAGTGATATGTTCCTAATATCCAGCTGCCTTAATCTTCAAGTTAAATGAATTATTATAATTAAAATCACTGTGCAGGGTCCCCCAAGGGGAGAAGGTAGCCCTCATCACTTTTCCAGGGACATTCTGCCTTTGTTGACAATTCCTTACAACATTAAGGTATGCTAGCTCAGGGATTAGAATCCATGGGCTTGTGCTTGGAAATCTATAAATATTCAGCTGTGATAAAAAAAATGAAATTTGCAGAAAAACAGACGCATTTGAAACAGGATGGCTGAAAAAAAGACAAAATTAGCATGTTCTCTGTCATGCCTGGGTGCTAGTCTGTGGTATAAATGTGTACATATGTACTTACGTGGATATCTTTCACATATGGCCATGAAAGAGGAAGAGAAACTGGAAGATTAGAAGAGGGAGCCAAGTGTAAAGGGCATGAGGGAGAAGCAGAACATAAACACAACCTTGTATGAATGGCATAGTGATAGCTAGTACTTTGTATACTAACTAAAATTAATAATCAAAATAAAACCTGATGGAAAAGGTTACTTTGGTGTTTCAGCATGGTGTTGACCCATTTAGAAGTTCTGCAGTTGTAACAACCACTGTAAAATAGACTGTTATTTCCTGGTTGTACTAAGAAAAGCATTCAGCCTTATTCCAAAAGATTGCTGTCCAGGCAATATAATCTCCTCCCCTGTGAGAGTTCAACAGGAGAATCAGGCCCTGGCCACTGCTACCACCATACCCACATAGGCTAATGTGTACCACTTTTTCTCACCATATATGAAGATCTGAGATGAGCTCAGACATGGAACATTTTATGTTACCTTATATTGTTTATTTTGCTCAGATGTCTGCTATACCAAGGAAGTCAACTTTAATCTGCTCTAATTTCTTGGCCCCAGAACTTTTCCCATATGACCTTAATATGTTATGAATTTGGTCAAAACTATCTTTACATGGCCCTACTACATGGGTGGGCCACTGTGACATTGTAGGATGCTAGGAAAAACTTTGTCCTCAAGGACAAGTTATTAACAGATTAAGTACTCAAACAAAGAAATAAACTTGAATATTTAAGGCTTTAATAATAATTCAAGTGAAAAAATGATAGCCTTTGGATATAAAGAAACTTGCCACAGGGAAAGACTCCTAAGGTAAAGGAGTCATGGACAGCCTATGTGATATTAACCTTTGAGTAGAAATCCCAAAGTAAAGTAAGAGATAATCTTCCACAGGGAAGTACTTTCCAGGCAGAAAACAGGGAGGCAGTACAAAAGTCCTGGGGCTGACAACTGTGTGACAAGCTTGAGATACAGGGAGGGAGTCCGGGTTTCTAAATCATAAGGAGCAAGGACGTACATCTGAAACAAAAGAAAGTAAGAACTAGGCAGTATCTTGCAAGCCAGGTAAAGTTTCATTTCATTCACAATCCACGGGAGGATGTTAAACAGTGGAATGATTCCATCTGATTCTTACTTCTAAGATGCTGGTTGTGTTGTGATGAGTAGATATTTAAATCCCAAAGGCAGAAAGGGCAGTGAAGCAGCCGTTAGTGCTGTCTGTGTGAGATGTCCGTGGCTGGGACTTGAAGGAGGAAAAGAATTAAAGACACAGATGTGTTTTGGAGTCAGAGCCAGTGGGGTTTTCTCATTTTATTCTTCCAACTACTCAGTTTAGAAAGAAACTGACTCCCAAAGATATTAAATGTGGGTGATTAATGTTTACATATTGAGAAACAGAACTGGATTCCAAATCCTGTACTTGAAGTTCTGAAGCTTCGGTGTGCATCAGGGTAAGTGGGAAATCTTAAGAAAATATAGAATATTGGACTGTGTATGTGGAGGTTTTGATACGAGATTGCATTTCAGCTAATTTCCCAGGTGTAATGCTGATGCTTGTGTGGGAATCACAGAGTAGGACCATTGCTCTGTGAGAGATTGTTTGCAATGTTACAGTGAAGCCCAAGGCTAGATTACTTGCAAGAGATTGTCCCTTTTGCTCTAGAAAAGCTTCTATCCTGGTGTTCCATAAGGTACCACAGTCAGTCCACATACACTAAGTAGAATCATAAGTCTAAGTCTAGTAGTTTCTTCGAAGAGAGAAAAGGAAAATGTTAAGCATATGTCTTTCACTTAGAAATTTTTCATTATTCTACCTTATCATCTCTGGAATTACTCCTACTTTTTATACAAATATACAGATAGAATTACAGTTTTCCTTGCTACCTGGCTTCTCTGGGGCTGTGGATTGCTGCCTGGTTATCCTTTGCTTTACAGATAATATCTTCATAAGAGTGAGTACATACCATGTTTGTCTTTCTGGGTTTTAGTTACCTCTCTCAGGATGTTTTTCCTAGTTCTATACATTTGCCTGCAAATTTCATGATGTCATTGTCTTTTACCACTGAGTAATATTCCATTGTGTAAATGTACCATATTTTTTATCCATTCTTTGAGGGGCATCTAGGTTGTTTCCAGGTTCTAGCTATTATGAATAGTGCTGCTCTGAACATGGCTGAGAAAGTATCCTTGTGGTATGATTGAGCATCCTTTAGGAATATGCCCAAGATTGGTATAGCTGGTTCTTGAGATAGATTAATTACCAATTTTCTGAGATACCACCACACTGATTTCCAAAGTGGCTATACAAATTTGCAATCCCATCAGCAGTGGAGGAGTGTTCTCCTTACTCTACATCTTCTCAAGCATGAATT